ATGTATATGTATGTTTGTCTGTCTGTCTGTCTGTTTGTACTGGCTAAGCTCTAGAATGGCTGGACTGATTTCGACGGGACTTTTACTAGCAGTTACCTGATGTACCAAGGAGTAACATAGACTACTTTTATTTTGGAAAAGTGGGACAAAAAGTTTCCATAATACTTTTATTTTGAACAATTATTGTAACTAAGAAAAGTTATTTTCTAAAATTTATATTCTACTCGGACAAAGTCGCGGGCAACAGCTAGTATTAAATAAGGTAAGCTCTGATGGCTTCTAAGTTCTAAGCTAACCTAAGGCTAAGGAGGTTCTAAGTGTACATATACGAAGACCTGGAGGTTGATTTCAATAGTGGCTTCAATAACAGCATTCCTATGTACAACACTGGGCAATTGGTATGAGCTGATGATGAAAACTAAAAATGATCAATAACTAACCGATCAGTTGACCTAATTCCTTAATGAAATGTTTGATAATAAAATTCATAATTATATAGATAAATAGAGCATGAAATCGATACTGATTAGAGAATGGTTCTTAGATACAAATTAATATTAATTAGGACCAATATTTAGGTCACATTATTATATTGAACAAATCTGGGTGACTATAGGTACGTATGACGTCACAATTACTTGTCTTTTCGAAATACGTAATTTATCAAAGAAAGTCAAGTCATTCGTTTTTATTAGATGTGAGAGCTTTTTTCGTTAATAACATCAATTAAGTAATTATATTGTATAATACTAATAATTTTACATCTTTATATGCTTTAAAATAGTATTAAATTACGATAGCATTGTTATATGCAGTATTGTTGGAGTGAGATGGTGATAGCATCTTGTATTACTTACAATTATAAGTTTTGGATCTGATACTAAAAAACCTAACGATTACTGAAACATAAACTGGATTGAAAGATGTTACGAAATATATGTGTATTTTTTGAACTATGTCAAATTCAAGTAGCCAATTGTATGTGTAGATGCGAATCGAAGGTCTGATGGAAACAAATCGTACTAACCACTACTTAACATAAACACGAAAGGGTAGACAAAGGTCAACATTACTACACTTAATACCACTGTACAATGTAACACCCACTTTTCACTATTTATCTTATGAGTCCCATGTAATAGGGGGTAAGCCTATTGCCATATACCGGGCACAATTCCAGACTCCGTGCTACCACTGAATTTTTTTTTTAAACCAAGTTATTCTTTACCCCACCCGAGAATCGAACCCCGACCCTTTGCCCGGCAGTAACACTTGCGACCACTAAGCCAACGAGGCAGTCACTACTTACTCGTATAATAATATAAACAATTGACAAAAATACAAATTAAAACGATGAAAGGTAGTATCGGAAGTTCAAATCACTTTGTGTTAAATAAAAACTTCCTTACAGATAGCAATATGAAGGAATTGAATTAATTTTACAAACATTTCCTAAACGGTAAATCATTTCCTCGATTGCAAACACGATGCCATTCACTGAAAAAAATATTTGTTATACCTACTACTGAAGCAGAATTTCACTTGACTTTAGTATCGTATGTATTTGTAGAATATGATGATTGTCCACCTTTGCTCTTTTCATGACCCAACCCAAATAACTTTAGGGATAATAACTAATTAAATCTAAAATCTTTGAATCAACATTTAGATGGGATAGCAGCATCATAAACCTTTTGAACTGCAAACTCTGTCCGCCTATCAAGCGTAGTGACTATGGCAGACCTTCTAATACAAAGAAGGCTAATTGAACCTGATTGGCTGATTCAACTATGGTCTATGATGAGAGAAGATATGGTTAGAGTGTTAATAAGACCTACTGTGTATTCATGAATACATAAGTCATAACATAACATAACATAAGGCAGAGTTGCACATTATACCTCTGTACAATGTAACACCCACTTTTCACTATTTATGTTATGAGTCCCATGTAATAGGGGGTGAGCCTTTTGCCATATACCGGGCACAATTCCAAACTCCGTGCTACTACTGACATTTTTTTTAAATCCAGTAATAATTTGCCCGACCCGGGAATCGAACCCGAGGCAATCTAGTCTACACAAGTCATGTAACTTATAAAAAAGTCATTAGCATTTATCAATGTAAGCAGCCAATATTTGAATGATTCCAGCACATTAAAAAATTACCAATTATAATCTTCGCACATTTCTTGTGAGCATGCAACATCAGTTCATTGATACTGAATATACCTGTCTACTTAGTTAGCTAGGATTGCGTGAGGAGTACGTTCGATGTCCATAATGTCATTCGATAGTTTCCAACATAAATCATTGATGCTTTAACATGATTTTACGATGATCTAAGGTAAGCGGTGTCTTGTCATTGTTTTCGTTAGTATATAATTGATTATTAATTTTCATTGTATTGCATTTTATTAGCAGCTATGTATGTTGATAGTGTGTTTTTTTTTCATAAAATATAGTCTAGTTCTGTTCATGAATAGATTGTAATCCTATCACATAATTATTGCATAATTTTCTCATTAAAATAATGATGTGTTAATTGAGAATGACTGCATTAGATTTGATCTTTAATTAAATGACGATGGCTTATGATCCGAAATATGGCCCGAAAGGGTAGGCAGAAGTGCACATTTCGGCACTTAATGCTACTGTACAATGTAACACCCACTTTTCACTATTTATGTTATGAGTCCCATGTAATAGGGGGTGAGCCTTTTGCCATATACCGGGCACAATTCCAAACTCCGTGCTACTACTGACATTTTTTTTAAATCCAGTAATAATTTGCCCGACCCGGGAATCGAACCCGAGGCAATCTAGTCTACACAAGTCATGTAACTTATAAAAAAGTCATTAGCATTTATCAATGTAAGCAGCCAATATTTGAATGATTCCAGCACATTAAAAAATTACCAATTATAATCTTCGCACATTTCTTGTGAGCATGCAACATCAGTTCATTGATACTGAATATACCTGTCTACTTAGTTAGCTAGGATTGCGTGAGGAGTACGTTCGATGTCCATAATGTCATTCGATAGTTTCCAACATAAATCATTGATGCTTTAACATGATTTTACGATGATCTAAGGTAAGCGGTGTCTTGTCATTGTTTTCGTTAGTATATAATTGATTATTAATTTTCATTGTATTGCATTTTATTAGCAGCTATGTATGTTGATAGTGTGTTTTTTTTCATAAAATATAGTCTAGATCTGTTCATGAATAGATTGTAATCCTATCACATAATTATTGCATAATTTTCTCATTAAAATAATGATGTGTTAATTGAGAATGACTGCATTAGATTTGATCTTTAATTAAATGACGATGGCTTATGATAAATTATACTTACATGATAATGATCTCCTTGAGACAGTAGGCTCTGAAAATCCCTCGGGTTTCTCAATAATTGGTTCCTCAACATCCAAAGACCGTTTCTCATATTCTTCTCTTCTGATCAAAGGTATTGCTCTAACATGGAACTGGCCATCATCCGTCAAATTACTTTTCTCTTTGGCAATTGGCATGTAATTACCAGGGAAAAGCATATTGCTCTTATTTTTAACATCAGCGTAATACATGTTTCTCTCAACTTGAGGCTCTTCTGGTCTGAGGGGAATAGCACGGGGCTTGAAGGCATATCGTTGATACGTGTATGGAACCCTGGACTCTCTGGACTGGAAGCTTGAGGGTTTGATGACAATAGAGGCACTGGTGACGTCGATCACAGAATCACTGTCTTTGTTCCATAGTTTCTTCAAAGCGTCCTGATACTGGTCGGCCGAAGCCAGAGCCACACAACAGAGCACTAAAGTCTGGTAATACATATTGAATGTTAATTATTGTCACTGATTACACAACACGAGACACTTCACTTTCCTTAGACCGTCACCCTGTGTACCACCATTTTGCATCAAGTGGTCGCGCAAAACTGAATTACTGTCGCTGCAAGACGTTATATTTATACATGTGTAGTATAAAGTTGCGTTTTTCCAGTCAGTTCACGGTCGGCCGGGTCTTCGAGCTTCCTTTGGTTTCAATTCCGATATGAACGAAATGTGTTCGAAATGAAAAACTTGTCCGTTTTCGCGTGGCTTCTTCCGTTAATAGTTGAGGACAGTTTCTCCAATTGATTGCGGGGTAATTTGTCGTTGTTATCGTGTTATTTGATGGCAGGAGATGTTCTGATGTGTTGCAATGGTGAAATGTTGTCATCTTGTCTCAAATTGAGATGTTGAATGAACATCTGTATTAGATATCATGGTTCATGTACTTGCTCTATAATTGACTCAATATTTTGGATTAGAAAATTACTGATAAATACTTTTACTTGTTCTGTTATCACGTCAAATTTTAAAAGTAAAATTATAGACGTGAAATTTTTAAATTCAGTACGTTTCTTACTGGACAGTGTCTAACGATCAACTGAAAGATGCATCAAGGAATAATATTTGCGGTCATCGACCCACTAGACCGTGATAAAGGGTTCAAGAGCAGCTGCTGTTATTATAAAAGTATTTTCCAATAAATCGCCTCATTGATTGTGCATAACCGCAACCACAAAATTTAAAAGATTAGTCCACAAAAAAGGGAGATAATTTTAGTTATTTTTCATTTTTGAAACTATGTGGTATTTAAAATTATGGACTAAAATTGAAAAACTAACGGTTTTCAAAGACGAAATATGAACTGCAAATACTATTCTAGCTACTGTTCCTTAAGAATTAAATCTGTATAACAAAGAACAACTCGGGTGCTATAAAAACAAATACCCGCAGTACTTCGATACATTCTGAGATGTGTATGATAGTACTTTCAATATGTCGCATACGACATAAATATTCTGCATGGCGCAGGTAAGTACAGTTTGCAAAACTTCTGCATGTTCTTATTTATATCATTCCAGTGGTTTATCAGGGATCAAACTATAGTATAACTCCAGATTGCTTTGTTTTTTATATGGGATAAGCCGGTAAACGAGCAGATGGATTACCTGAGGATAAGCAATCGGCGTCGCCTATGAGCACCTAGAACGCCAGAAGCGTTACAAGCTCGATAACAGCCTCTTGGGGATTAGGAGTTTGATGATTATTGGGGATGGGAGACATTGGGGAAGGGGGTAGTTATGCCTCCGGTAACCTCAATCACATGACGAAACACAACGCAAATGTTGCTTCACGTCAGTATTCTGTAAGACCGTGGTATCACTCCGGTCGAGCTGGCCCATTCGCGCCGAAGTCTGGCTCTCCCGCACGTAAAATGTGTCCCACACTTATGTTCTTCCATCAGTTATATTATATTCCACAATCAGTAAAATCTACATATTATTAACACTTAATTGAAATATACGTATAAGGATTCCTATACATTCACATAGGAAAATAAATTGCATAGCTTTCTACAACCAGTAACATTGACCATGTGATATCAGTCTATCATTCACTCAAACATTCAGCAGTTACCAATCGAGGAAGAGTTTTGTTTAAATTGATTGATTAACGATGTGTGTAAAAGTCTTACCTCGTTAGTCAAGTAATTAAAGTTTTAACTTTGTGTGTTGTTACTTTATTTCTACCCTCCAAGACAACGCAAAAGTGAAAAATAACAAAGAGGTATTCTGCAGCTTTTTTGGGGCCACGGGTGCGTAGAGTGGGGACTCTAGGTGCCCACCGTGTGGTCTTAGGGAACACAGTACACAACAAAGAGGAGGAGACATACGTCTCTCTAGGGATGTGTCGTAACAGGCGTTGCACCGTGGAGGCCTCCGGAGCAGGTCTCTTTTAGAGGACCCGGTGCCCCCATTCAGGTGTTGAGGGTGGCCACCGTGGTGGTTTTAGTGAGGTAAAAATTCCACACTCCCAGGCCCTAGTCTTTTATCCCCAAAAAGCTAGGCGCTTTTTAAAGGATTCCCCCGTCAGCAAAAAAAAAAAATATTCTGCAGCTTGACAGATGTGGTGGCCGAGAAGTTAAGACGCCTTTTCTTCAGTTCTTATGCATGAGAGTGCGGGCTCGACACCTACCAACGGCAAGTACCAAAGTGACTTTTTTCGAGTTATATGTTCTTTCTTAGCGACTACAGACAAACGGTGAAGGAAAACATCGTGAGAAAACTTGTAATTACTAATTATAAGTTTGAAATCGCCAAGCCGCAATGAGTAAACGTGGTGATTGATGCTCAAATCTTGTCCGCGTGAGAAGAGGATTTGGTCAGCTGTGGGCACTGTTGATGATGATGATGATCAGCCTACTGCTGCAGCAGCTGATGTCTTAATTCGTTCTACGAGTGGTGTAGAAAATATTACACAATATATTATAAAAAATATTATGCCATAAAACAATAGCTTCAATGGGAAAACATTTGCTGACCTTACTTCCACAATAAATATCAGAAAATCGTTACCCTCTTTTTTCCAAAGATCGAGCAAATTGTGCACATAATGAGACGTGCACTGCACAATTATAATACAATAGTTACTCTACTTACTTATCTGGAGTTATTATAGAAGTGTCACACAGATTAAAGCTCTGTATTGCTGTTCAAGTGGTTGCAAGCGTGACTATGGAGCAAGGAGTTTTGAGTCCAATTCTCAGATTGGACAAAGTATCTTATCGATATTAATGGGTCTTTTATTCCGAAAATTTTCACTACTACCACGAAATCTTGGAGACTGATTCACTATAATTTACATTTGCGTCAAAGTCAAAGTCAAAATCATTTTCACAATTAGACCTTTTGAAAGTCAAAAAAACTTCAGTCAGTCCACTAGTGAAGCTAAGCTAAGCAATAACTTTGATAATTATTCAAATTCAAATTGTTTTTATCACAAGTTTAACAAGTCCCAGTAATGAGACTTGTGTTGGGCCTGACTCGCTCCTTCCTTTATGTATGTAACATTTATAAGAATAATACTTAATTTCTAGATCTGTAGATTCTGTAGATCTGTGAATTATCATTTTACTTCGACTGAGAAAAAAACGTTAATAAGAAACACATTTACGTCGATGAAGATATATTTTTTCCATAAAAATCAAAAACTAGAACATACTCTTGTTCTTCAAAAGAACGACTTACGTTACTCAAGATAAGCAATGAAAGCGATGGTGTAATATCGAAAATAGCTGTCCAGTTTTTGATAGGATTTTCTAAATATGATTGATGGATGTCTTCGATCATTATAAGGCGTTCACACTAACATAATTTATGGAAAACTTGTCGAATCATCGGCGAAGATATTGAAAGTGGTTTGTGTAAAGTAGGTACCATGGTGTTGGCCTTCAGACTGTGGTGGTTGACTTTGTATTTGTATAGTAGTATTATTTCAAATTGTGAGGGCATATCCATAGCTTTTAATTTATTTCAGGAGTTGTTTCCGCAGTCTTGACGTTGTATAAATGTACGTTGTAGACTGTAAAAATCATGTTTTTTTTAAAGGTAACGATGGAGTTTCTTGCTAGTTCTTCTCCATTCGAAACTACACTTTGTAACAAGCGCCTAGCTTCACTGACAGACACACAATTCAATTTTAGACGTTTTAAAACTGCCTAATTAAGTATCAATTGAAATAATTGCCTTAACTTTGACTTTGACTTTAGTATAAATCTGAATTATACTAGTCAAATAGTCAAATCAAGTAGAAAATAAAGAGTTTTGTTTTTGTATATTCTAAGTGAGTATTAAGCTCTTGGTTCTGATCACAGAACATATAAACCTTCTTTATTATGTTTGAGGGTTCTGATCTTAAGACTAACATAATACTAAGGCCAAGTAGCTTAGTTAACTAAGGCCAAGAATTGAGCAGAAAGAATAAGATGTTAATTCAAATCCTCAAGGAGAAGTGAAATGTGTTATTTCCTATGATCAATTTTACTATACTATGACTATGATAGTGGCGTAGCATTCCTAGCTGAGGCCCTGTATATTAAATGTTTGGGAGCCCCTCACAATCGTTTTTGATCCTAAACGATCTTCTCATAACTGCATCGGGAAAAATTTTGTTTAGAAGCTGTTATTGGCCGCCATTTTTCCAAGATGAATTTTGGAAGAGCGTACTCTTTCAAAATCTACAAAATTACCAACTGTCAACACTCCCAGAAAACTTTCCAGGCAACCCTCATATTTTCTGTCTACATTATCGAATATGATGACTTTAGTATTTCTTGAATTTTGCCAATTTAAGGAGTTTTTATAAACTTTTTCTTACGCTCGTGGGGGGACATTCTGACTCAGGGGCCCCGAGTAATTGAATGGTAGATATGGCTCTGCAGTAAGGGTAATATCACTCCTATTTGCATTGCTGTTGGAACGTCAATGCTTCTTTAATTTAATGGTGGCAAGAGAGACGCTGTATTGCATCACAGCATCTCTCTTAGGTCGTCCAGGTGCACCTGGACGTAGGTTTGGTCTGTAGAGAAAATTATGAGGTTCTTTTACTCCTTCTCGTTGTCAGTACGTGACTTGTGTTTAGAATTGTGCCTAAGTACTTACCCCTAATTAGAATAACATCAATAAAAACCACCGGAAAATGATATATAATAGTTATTTACTCATTATCATTACATCTTGTTCAATAAAAGCATGTTGCTATGTTTTTATGCCAAGTTAATCCACAAGTCTACTGACTTTGTTTCCTTAATTCATTTTCTTAGTTTTTTCACTAATCAATAATTGCAAGCAATTTTCTTCGCTTCATTGGACATTGGCTAATGCGGAAGGCAGTAACATTGACCTACAGATGTTCTAGTTGTGGCCTAGTTACGTACATCTTGACTTACTTTTACTTTAAGGTCTATGACTACTAGATAGGGCAGAGGGCGTCTTCTATCTCGATCGATCTTGCGC